ACATTTATTACTGAGTGCAGAAAAGACAGCTATGAAGCTTGGGGTCTGATTCTGACTATGATGCTGAGTTAGTGTCTAAAACCAGGCAAATTATTAAACCTCTCTGCACTGGATTACCCCATCTGTAAAAACAGAGTAGGGCAGAGGGTAGGGTAGATGTGGTGAATGAGGAGAGTAACATACATCTCCCTTAGGCTGATGCTATAAAATCTGATGTCTGAGAATCACTGCTAAAGAAATTTTCAGAGAAGAGAGGAATATCCTTTAGTGGTGCATATGCAGATATGCTGGCAGATCACAGGAGAGTTAGGACTATTTACAGCAGCTGAAAATCTCTCTCGCTAAATGTTGTTGTCGTTTCATAATCAAGGGAATAGCAAAGAGCAGTCTGTAAATTTATGTGCAAACTCCCATCTGTGCCAGAAGAAGAAGAAGGTAATTTCAGAGATGCAGATAAAGCTGCCACACAGCACCTGAACTGTATCAAATTACTGGCCGTTGATACAGGAGTGGAAGATTTTGGGGTTTTGCACTGAGCATTCAGTAAAATAATCTCCTGTGTTGTAAATGCAGTTATACCCCTTACTTTGTCAGGAAGAATATGAAGACTACTGATAGTGGTGTTTACAGCATTAGCTGAGGAAGCTACGAGGTTTCTCTCTCAAATTCCCTTTTCTTCTAAGGGCTTAGCAAGATCGCTTAGTCTTTCTGTTCCCTTTTTTCCCTTTACAAATGCTGGCAACAATGTAACATCATGGATGTCAGTAGGTTGTAATATTGAGATTGCACTAGGAATTGATTTTCTTTTTTGTTATAGCTATTATATTTTCTTTGTCAAACATTTATTCCTCTAGCTGCGAGGATAGGTGTCATTAGGAACAGAAATTTACAGCCCAAGGCATTTTAGCTTTTGGAAATGCCTCAAATAATGAAGTATTTATGCTAAGAGGAAGAAAAAAGATATCCCAGTTTTGGTGGCCTTCATGCCATGTAGACACCTCACTACATGTTGGGCAGTATATTACAGCTTGGTAAAGTTAGTATTTTAATTTCAAAACATTTTTGAGCAATGAATTTGAATGCTGTTGTGAAATGCTTGTCTCATGCTTTACTCTGATGTGGCTGCCTAAAAACGATTAAGAAGCACCCAAGCACAAAAATAAAACCCGTTAGGTTCTGTCCAAATTGCTGCTGGGATTAGTCTAGTGTAATGATCACCTCTGAAGTCTGGAATAATATCAGGGAAGCAAGCCTTGCACATTCTTAAATATTTGTGATAGCCAGCTTCTTCTAAATGTTTGCACTTCCTGCTTCACTTCTCAGGACTTTCTTAATTTTCTATAAGCATGAGGCTTTCACCAAGCCCTTCATGGCAATACTTGGCATTTAAATGACAATTTTCGCTTTCAAGATGTTGTACAGATATTAAAGTTTTCTATAAACTAAGGCAAGAACTGAGAAAAAAAAAAAACAAACTTAAGTGCTAATGGATGTTTGATGCGTTTGATAATCACACCAATTCCTGTTGCTGTTTTTCTAATAAGGGATCTAAGCTGACCAAATAATTATTTCACCACATCTGTTAAACTGGTTAGTAGCAAGCTCTGTTCCCTATTCCAGTATTTATCCACACCTCATAGTAGTCACTGAAAACTTCAAAATTCAGTCTCTATCCTGTGTAACCCAGGGTCCTGTTTGTGAAATGCACTTACTAAAAGATACTGAACGGGAGTTTTCTGATGCTGGTGTGATCACAACATTGGTGACAGCTCTAAAGTGGAAGTTAAATAATTCAAACTGATTTCCTTCATTATAAAACATTGACTACCCCAATTCAAAAGTAGACAAGTCAGCTGACTTGGAAAAAAAGTCTTATTGACACAGAGAAATCTCTTGGTTTTGTCCTATAGGATCCAAAAAATGGCTGTACAGTGGATGCAAGCAGCTCCTGAGCATATAAAACACCTGAAAGAACAGTGCTCTAAGATGCACTTTCACAAGTTGTGGAGAAAAAAAGGAAGCTGTCAGCTTTTAAGACCGTTAGATAAATGTCATTAAAATGTTGTAAGATTATTGAGATCCCTTAATACTGCAGTAAAAGACACTAAAAATGAGTTAGAGCTCAGGGCTGTGAAGAACTGCCCAAGCAACCCATGAATAAGCAGCCTCAGCCAGATGAAAGCATGTAGTCATATTAGCAAGGGCAGAAAGCTCACCAGCTCTGCTGAGCAGCCTCTCCACTCTCTGCACTATTGTGTTTGTGTTCTGGGGAGATACCTCTAATTCATCACAGAGAGAAAGAGGCATTGTGACATGTCTTCCTGGTTTAGACCCTCTGGATGATTTGAATAACCCTGTTTCTATTAAATACCTCATTTTAGAAGAGTACTTGTCTGGTCCTGGTCATGCTGATCCTTCTCTAGATGAAACGATGGTGCTCATCTCTCAGAGAGGCTGTTAGGTGCTCTGTGCAAGGGTGGGTTTCTTGTTGGACTGTGTTGCTTATGTCCTCTTCTCAACTCAAAATATTCAGCAAAGGTGCTACTATTTTTTAACCTTTCTTCTGATACTCTCCCTGGCACGGCAGAACCTATCTAGGGTATCCAACATAGCCCTTAGTGTGTTATCCTGCTGAAGAAGTTTGCACAGAATGAGACCTTGCTGAGAGCTGACCTTGATCTGATGAAAGTTTCAGTGCTTGCAGATGGTATCCTTGGATGTCATTGTCTAAAAACGTGAAAGAGCAAAGGGGAAAAGGCATCTTTTTCTGTCTGCTCTGCCCAGTTCCTTTACCAAGCAAGAGGTCTGGCTGCATTCAATTTGTATCACTTCAGTTGACACTCAACAGATGCAGAGGTGTTATTTTTATATGCATCTTCAAAACCAAGCACAAACAGAACTGTGTGGTGTTCATCAGGTAGAAAATTGGAAATGGCATGTCCCTCTCTTAGGTCTCTCTATAGCCCAAAGTAGTCAACAATGCCTGGAGTGAAGATCTCCAAATACTTTATAGCTGGGCCAATAGTCAACCACGAAAGTATGTTTTACAGAGCCAGAAATGTTATCAAAGTTTTAAGCTCAAATGCAGCTGTTATCAAGACCTGACTCTTAATTTGAAATGTTTAGGAAAGATCACTGAAGTCAGCTCTCATGTCATTTTCATTTGCTAATGGAGTAATCAACATCTGTAGAGCATCAGCCACAAAATCTTTCATTCAATGAAAAGTGTGCTCAAAAAGTCTCTTGTCTGAGATCTATAATCTCATTTTAATTAGCAATGCACATGATTACTCCAATCAAAGCAAGTCAGTGGCAAACATTGCCATCTGCATTCATCGTTAACACCAGCCAGACGATGACAGACTCATTTTAAGTCAATATGTGGGCTCTGAGGTGCAAATGTCTGTTCAAGGACAAAGAATATTGTCCTACTTTCTACTCCTTAACTTTTGAAAGACAACCTTCATCTAATACTTGCCAAATATGGAGCATTTCCAGTTTGGCATCAGGGAATGCTTTGCGTCAGGGATGTGAGAGTCTTGCTTATTCTCTGTAACAGAAGATATTGTCCCTTGTTTTGAGTGACTTGATGATGCCTGGAATCAGGATTGCATGATGCCTACCCAGTTTCCAGCATGGCCAACTGTGTGGTTAGGGGTTTGGAGCTGTTGAACAGCTCCCATGGCAAGGTGCAGAATGAATCAGTGAATCTTTAAGACAATTGTTCAGCGCTGTGGTAAAAGTCTGACTGCTGCCTGCTGCCAAGGGCAATGCCCACAGGATGAAGTGTTGTGTGCCTCTTTGTATATGCACTGACATCTTCCAAGGATCTGGTGCCATCAACTGAGGTGTCTAATGACACTTAACTGCTTCTGGATTAATGAGCTTCTTCCTCAGATGTCCTCACAGAGAGCTGTAGTTGAGAAGCAGCAGATGACCTGGTACCAGTAAGAGTCATTTATTAATGTAAATATTTAATAAGATATAGACAGGTTTTTAAAATAACTTTTCCACTGCTAAGCCATTAAATTTTCCCAAAGGGTACTTGCATTTCAAGAACATTTACCAAAAAAGGCACAAGCATAAGTAAGCTTATGGATTATGTAAAATTCAGCAGTCTTCATCCTCAGAGAAGGAAATTATCTGGGCATTTCTGAAGATGTTAATACAAGACTTTAAACTCTTTTAAAGAAGACAAATTTCAAATAGCGTTTTTCTTCCTCCTGAACCAGATTTGCCATGCACAGTTGGTGCTTATGAGAGCTTTAAATTATTTTGGTTGCACAATCCCAATTCTGATAACTTCTTTTAAAGTTCTCATTATGATAAGTAGCTTTGAGTGTTTTATATCTACCCATAAAACTGCTACAATCATTCTTCGCAATTACACTAGAATGCACAGCAATTAATTACATCAAATCCTTCTCACAAAAGTGTTTACCAGTGAAAAGATTGCCATGGCTTTCTTTCTGACAGTGAAAAGAGTAGGAATTATTAGACACCTCTTGGGATTTTACTGATATAACATTTCTGCAGCCAGGGTTATGATAATATTATTTTCCCTTTAGGAAATAAACATCAGTTCTTGATAGGCATCACCTTCAAACAATATTTTACATGGGAAAAATATTCCCAAGTATTTTTTTCCTGTAAGAAACCAAGATTTTAAACTAGGTAATTCCAAAGAGTGACCTGCACTTGCTGGGATTCATCTGCAGGGTCTTATTCTCAGAAAGTGAGGTACATCTACCCTGGTGTAGGTGCCAAGCATAGGACTGGAAGGCATAGGGTGAAAATTGGTGTCAGATTTTACCTTTCCCTTACAGGAAAACAAAAAAGAAGAGGCTTCTGTAAAGACTTACTTCACAGTGGAAATAGTTTTCCTCTGAGTCAGGCCTTTCCCTTTGGAAAAGAGAAAGGGTTACCTGTGACATAAAATATGATTAATTGTTCAGAAGTAAACATATCCAGACTGATCTAATCACTATTTCCTTTCACAGAGCCATGTTCGACTATGACAAGAGCAAAGACAGTGGCCTCCCAAGCCAAGGACTCAGTTTCAAGTATGGAGACATCCTTCACGTCATCAACGCCTCGGATGACGAATGGTGGCAGGCGAGGAGGGTCACTCTGGAGGGGGACAGTGAGGAGATGGGAGTCATACCCAGCAAGAGGAGGTGAGTGCTGCCTTCTCCTTCTTACCACTTTGGCCATTACCTTAGAGTACTTATTTCTTTTTCCCAAAGGTGGGGTGTGTCAATCTACTGCAAAACGGGGCAGTAAAGGAAAATCCCACTGGTATTTCAAGAGTTGGAAGACACAATTTTTGCTGTGAGATTGAAAGCATTCAGGCTGTGTATAACTGTACTGAAAAGAACTTCAGAAGGTGACTCAATTACTAGTAACTTCATAAAGAAAAGGGAAAAGAAGGAGAGATTGCTGTCTACTAAAGAGCTTCAGCAAAAAAAGGAATAACCAGAACCTGAGTCTGGGAATTTGCTCTGAATTTAAAGTGGAGCACATGTTTTAATGTCAGGGTGATTAGCCATTGCATCAAACTGCTGAAGGATGTAATGAATGTCTTGACATTTTCAAATCAAGACTGTATGTCTTTCTTTTGAGAGGGTAATAGAATTAAACTTCTCAGCCTGTGTGATGTAAAATATGGTGCTAAATTATATAATGGTCATCTTTGGCTTCAAAATCTGTTGATTTAATCTCTGCCTGCCTGGAAACTGATGGATAATCAATATCACAGTAAATTTTTTATATAATGTAAATGAAGGAACTTTCATCTGCTCTCCAAGCAAAATCTGAATCTTTGTGTGTCTGTGATGGATTCGTGGTGACTTTTGGAGAGAGAACAGATATCTGAATCTCCCTCACTGTTCGTATTGTTTATTCTGCCCAGATGCTTTTGTAAAATTGGCCACAAGGCTCTGACAATATCAGAAGTAGCATACAAACCAGTATTACTTCCTGGCTCTGTTGATAGTTGCTATAGAAAGGTCAAGAACTAAAAGGGTAGGAAGAAAATTAAATCTGCCAAAGCATATTACATTTCTCTTTTGCAGCAATGCTGTATAAACTTTCTATTCCTAGCTATTTCTGCTTTAGCACTAGTGTAAAAATGATCATGACCATTTTTATAATGGGGAAATGGGATGCTTGATGCTCCCTGGAGCATCTGCTACTGTTTCAAGAGAATTGGCCAGGCTACTAATAGAGCTTATGGTACTCATTGTTCTAAATCATGTAAAAGTAAACTAAAAGGCCATCAAATACCTTGTTGACATGAGCCCCGAAAGGACCTTAATTTCACTAATGATCATGTTTGAATAGCATCCACACCTGGTTTTTCAGCGAAGAGCAATTTTGGTGCTCTGTAATAGATAGAAAAAAACCGTTAGGTTATAAGGTTAGGTTATAAGTTTCAAGATGGAAAATGTGCCCATTAACCAGACTTAGTCTCTAGATATTGAAAAAGGAATAATTGCCTGCTATTCATTGCTACAGTAAATACTGCTGTAATTACGTGATTGGACCATACATGGGTAGAGAGAGGAGTTTATTTAATGCTAAGGAAAGTATGTGCACAAAGCTCACTCCTGTGTGGTGCCGTCTTTGAAAAGGTGCAAAAAGCTGTCATACATAGTAAAACAACTAAAGAGGAAAAAAGGACAAAGCAAAGCAGCTAGTTAAAATGTGGAACTGTATATCCTGTAAAGTGGAAAAGTGGTGTGTGCCTAAAGCTTATTGGGTTACTCACATAGTGGTGTTTTTAAGGACAAAGGGTAGAGGTTCTCTAGTCAAGGTCAGGCATATAATAGAGCCTAGGAATAAGATGTGGCTTAGGAAACACTGGGAGAAAACAGAATAATTAAAAAAAAAAAAAAAAAAGAAAGGAAAAAAAAGGCTATATGAAAATAGGTTGGTTAGAACCTAAAAATAAGAGTCTTGAATTTTAAAAGATGCAGGTATAGTTACCATGCTCTCCACTTGTCATCCTTATTCTTCACTAGTGAAGCTGAGGGGACTGGAAAAATCAATGGCATCTGATTTTCTGTCTGCATTAATGTAATGATACACCTGAGCTGAGTGGGAGGAGGTTGCTGTTATTTCAAAAAAGGTTTCAGTTGTACAAGGTTATTTTTTCCAATGCACTGAAAAGTTAATATTGTTTCCTTTCTGTGGGTTCTGGATGATTCCTCAGAGCCTGAGACTGATGTGCTCTTGCCAGCATCTTCAGCAGTCATTTACACCACCCAAGGGGAGGATGAGAAATCAGCACACACAGGGCTGAGTTAGAGAGAATAAAGCTAATCATACTTGCCAGATTGTGCTAATTCAGAGTTGAATTTCCTCTGCAGGTGTGGGTTATTGTCTGTAAGAGGATTAATCTAAAACAGAATAGTCCTGGAATTCATTTGACCAAATATAAGCAGCTACAGCATGGAAATCCTCATTTAAGCTGTTGGCTCCAGGATGCCATGTCTCTTATAGTTTATATGAGACTATTTCTATAGGCATTGCTTTGTATATAATACAGCATGTGCAATATCTAGCAGTAAAATATTGTGGAAAAAAGAAAGGAAGGAAGATAAGAACATCTGTAGCTGTTTATTTAGCTTGTCCTGTAAGCTAAATTTGCCATAATGTTGTAAATTGAAGAATTTTTTATTTGTCTTATATTTTTCAATCCCCAATTAATTTCTGTTCTTTTTTTTTAGGGTCTTGGGGGTTTTGGGGGATTATGGTTGGAAGGATTTTCTTTTGTGTTTAGATTCCTTTTTCTGCTTGTGGAACCCTATCCTGTGGTACTGTAACTTTTTTTTTGCACTTTGGGTCAGTGAGAGGCTATACAGATCCAGGAATTACTAGAGCCAGGTTGAGTCTTTTAGCTGTCTGTGTTACTTCTACTTCCCTTCTTTCTAGCAACAGCTAAGATAAAATTCCTTCATTTCCCATAAGTGAAATCATTATGAAATACCTCTGAAAACCAGTGACCACTTCAATTTATATATATATGTATATATATGTGTGTGTGTATATATATGTATACAAATATATATTTGTGTATACAAATATGTATCAATATACAAATATATATCAATATACAAATATATATTTATGTATGCAAATATGTATCCATATGTATATAAACAGACAAAGTCCTAACAACTTCATTATATTTCTTTTTTGGGATGCTGTGTAATGGTAATTGCTGTAACTGCTTTCAATGTGTTTAGATTTTTTATCTTTTTACAGGAGAATCCATCATGCAATGACATTTTAGCATGAGCTGATTAGAGAAATTGGGAATGATTAATCAAAAAGAATACTCCTTACTCTTTTTCTCCCCTTTGACTTATGCACTATACCAGCAAAAAAAATAATAATTTAGAATTATAGAGGAGCTGCCACTCATTAGTCTCCAGGTTTTTGCATACATCACCAGACTTTACCTCTTAGTGATTTAATAGAGTTTGAAAGCTTTTTTTGTCATCAGATTTCAATGCTTCTGCCAACAAGTGGATTTGTTGCCTTGTTTATAGTTAAATTGCCAAGTCAGGCTTTAAGTGAGAGTTTTTGGAGGGCAGCACTGCAGCCAGAAGGGTCTTACTGAAAGAAGCAGCACAAAGAAGTGAGGGTGGCCCCAGGTTTCTCCACTGGTCCGTGCAAGGACCAAATCTCATGGAGCAGTGAGCCAATAACCTCTGTGGGGATTGAAGAAAATTAAAATTTAAGTATCCTGCAGTTCTTAAATATAATTACAACCATTTCTTCGCCTGAAAACAACATTTTTTCCATTTGTCAGTGTGTATTTATTGTCTGACTATAGCTGTTGTTCTCAACCACAGGACTGTGTAGCTAGTTGGGTAGAAACCAAATAAAATGATCTACAGTTGGTATGGTATTATATCATGTTGGGAAGCATAGGAATTGAGATGAGAGGATGCAAGCCACTTCAGTTGTGGTTTAACCATCACCAAATAGTTGTTATATAGTACTAATTAATAATGATTACAGGCCAAATCTCTCTTGGTTCCACAGCCAAAAGATTTATCCAAGCTATGTTTAAGGTGACAGCACAATTTTATCAGACAGGGTCTCCAAGGTGAGAGGACATAACATCCAGCCCTGTACCAATGTTTCAGGCAGCCTGCAGTATTGCCTGGGCACTATGGTTACATGTGTGAAGTGTTCCCTTAGCACAGAAAACTGCTATTTATACTAGAATGAGCAACAGAATTAGATTTACACTGGATTATTTACATATAGATAGATAGATAGATAGATAGATAGATAGATAGATAGATAGATTTAGAGTTTACATATAATCTGTGCTTTTGATCATGAGAATCTTTATTTGTCTTATTGCCCTTCTTATTATCCATATAAAAAACCAGCTTCCTATAAAAGGACAGCAGCAAGCTGAGCAGCCCATATCCAAGATTCCCTCCCTATGGAAACACTCATATTAGTTAAAGGGAATGAACAAAATGCATGAAGCCAATATACATATATGAGTGTATTTCATTCCTAGACAGATGCTGTAATTCAATAGTAAATAGATTTTAATGTGCTGTAGCATTGATTTTACACCTCCAGTTCTTTTCACTTTTTTCCTTGCTGAGTCTCTGCACAGGGACAAGCTCCTACACTGCGAGACCTCCAAAACAGCAAACCCCCACCTCACGAATGTCAAGCCTCAGTATTTTCTGTGGTGTGTGTATATCTGCCTGACTTGAGTCTGTGGATCTGGAATGCAGCCTGAGATATCACACAGATTGCCCCAGAATGGCTGAGCATAAATTTTCACCATTTTTACTGCTGCTCCCTCTGCAGCCAGGAAGGATTTGGCCTTAAAACATGAAATAATTACACTAATCTTTCAGTTGTCCTTCAGATGTGCAGGCACAAAACTGCTGTCAGACTGAACATCATTGTAAGATACCCATTTTCAGGTAGTTTAAGTACATCTGACTGTCAACGTTATGCAACTTGTATCTCTGTTATTACCAACTGTAATAATGCTAGCCTGATTCTTGTGTTCTCAAATAGACAACATTCTCGCCACATGTACATGTTGCCATGCTCTCCGTTCAGAGCAAAGTGGGAGGAAAAGTACATAAAACCCAATGTTGCACAAACATTTAAGGACAAGGAACAAGAGGTTTTCCCAGCACAGAAGTCCCTGTGGGTGAAAAGCCAACTTAAATTTTGTTGTTCTGCTCAGCTTGGCAGAAGGGCATGTTTATCCACTCAAATGATTTTTATTTTTAATGGTCTCCTATAAATCATCTGCCTTTCTAAATAACCCGTAACATTTTAATCCTTAAATGATAAAACTTTTTAACATGGCATAATCAGGTAAGCTTTGTCTAAAATAATTTATCTGTCTATACTCACTAATCTAATTGGAAAAATTTAATATGGAATGAAATTTGTATGTATGTGTAGGTATAAACTTCCTGTGCTCTTGCAATGATGTGAAACTTCTGTGCTGAAGGAAAACAGCTGTTAGCTTTTAGACAGAATAAGGTTGTGCTACAATTTTATGAGAAGTCACTTCCTAATGTCATTAGGTCTGCTTCTCATAAATATTGACCAGGTGCTGAGCTGCTTTCTATAAGCAAGCCCCTGCAGATGGAGAGCTGAACCAGAGCACTTTCCTACTGAAAAATGCATGTGTGGTGCAAAAATGCCGCTTCAGGAATGCTTCAAAATAATTTTGAGGGAATCTCTTGGTAAGCTCACATCTTGCAGAGATGGAAGCAATAAAAAGCTACAAACTGAGACCACATATTTGATCTATAAATAGTGCATACATATTTTCAATTATCTTTCACTTGATAGGCAGGCAAAACGAATACAGTGCAGGTGAGCTGGAAATGGTGAAGCACAACAAGAGACATAGCAAGGTCTTTCAGGTATCCATTTTACATTACATTCTTATATTTTCTAACTCTCCTCACTACAGTACTCCTGCTGGATTTGGAAACAACTTTCATCCTGCAAAACAGCTCAATGCCAAATCTGTGCAAATTAGGCTTCTGTTACCATTTTATTTCATTCTAGAAACAAGTTTGCAGTTTGCATCCATGTTCTACATCAGCAATGAATGCTGTTATTGAAGATTAAAGCATTTCTCACTTGATATTCTACCTCACCACTGTGAAGACTGATTAGTGCTTTTAGGAAGGCACTGACAAAACTCCCAGTGGTCCAGCAGTGTGTGATCACAGTTCATGTTTTGTTGAGTTATACTTGATTTTTTTCTTGTTTGCAGCACTTATGAAGAACTGAGTCTCATTTTGAAAAATCCCACAGGCCCTTTTTCAACAATTATGTGTGCCCAGAAACACAAAAGCAGGCAGACATTGCATTGCAGTGAGTGTTGCATCCCATTAATTAGTTCCTCAGAAGAGTAAGAAGAGGACAGTATCCTAAAGCACTGAAATCTTGAACTTACTAGTGAGGAAACACTGAAAGCTGAAGTGTGTTTTCAATGGACTGCTCCACTTCTCTAGCTTTACATGGGAAGAAGAGAGTGAATCCTGACCATTTCTGAAATAAAAAGGGCCAAGAGGAATCTACCACCAGGAATGTTTTCGAGAGAAAGTGAGGATACAGAGTATACTCCAGCTGTCCCAGATCTCAGATGATTTTAGATAATTGCCCTGTGCACAGCAGTGTTTCTGCACGCAGCTGTACTTGGAGGGTGGGTGTGAAGATGGAGGTGAAATCCCCACAAGTTGTGCTAGGGTGATACTGGATGTAAGTTTCTTTTAACATTTCTTGAAACCCCTTTGAGTTTCAGTGACCCTTCAGGCTCTTTTGAAAATGGGACTTAGCCATGAAGTTGTTTTAGAAATCATAGCCATGCTTTCCTTATCCCTTAGGCGTAGCTCCATCAGGCAAATATAAAATTAGAAAGGGTCATGGCAGCAGTGTGTACATCAGGCAAGTCAGGGCTGCAAATCTGGGAGGTAGGAGTCCTCCCCTACACTCCATGTTTTTGCACAACTCCCCATGATCCTTCTTTGCCCTGCAGTGGTGATAGAAAACCATGTTAAGTGAAAAATTTCTTTCTTGGAAAGCAATTTCTTCAGCTGATGGATCAAAATGTTCAAATGGTGGTCAGCTGCTGTCAAGTAAACTCCTTTCTTCTTGGGGAAAAAAAAGACAGTCAAGTTTCTTTTTCTTTAAATATAAAAATTAAAAGCCTGCAAAAAAAAAGTGGTAAAAGTGTTTGAATTAGTGTTCCTTTTAAAAGTGCCTTTTCTAAGAGCTGGATCAACAAATCTAAAAGAACAGAGATTCAAAACTTTGTATCTTCACCAGTTCAGTTCCCTTTTTAGCTCTGTCTATTGTCTGACAAAAATGTCCAGTAGCGCAGATGAGAAATTCTAAGAACATCTGAGTTCACTGAAGTCCTGCACCCTGACCATTTCAAGAAAAACTAAATCTTTGGAGAACCAAAGCTAAATTCCAGAAGTTCTCCGGAGCCTGTAAAACTCAAGCTTTTCAGAAATTTAAGTTCATTCCTTCAGGAAAAAGAGAGGTATATTCCTAACACCAGAGCAACCCACTGCCTCAATGCAAATGCCAGACCAAAGACAGAAAGGCAATAGAGCACCTGAGCTGAAGAACTTTAAGATTATATTATAAATTGGGCAAACCCATTTATTTTGCCCTTGCCTTTTTCTGACAGCTGACCCATTTTAGTGACAGTTCAGGCAGCAACGATAATGCAGTCAGCCTGAGACAAAGAACATTTCAGCTTGTAATTTTACATTTCAGCTATATTATAAGTAAGTGAGAACAGTTTTATTGTGGAAGGTGTCACACAAATTGTAATGGGAGGCAACATTTTGTGCTACCCTTAATACAGTGCCAGATGATGAAATGTTTGGAATATTCAGTAAGCATGCTGAGCATACATGAACATTGTTGTTATGTTTGCCTGAAGGACTAATGGCACTTAATGGTATTACTTAAATACTTCTTAAAGCAATGCAGAATTTTTCTGCAGCTCCTCGTCTGTCTGCTATGCCTCTAGAAAAATAGCAGCGATGCCTCCATGGCTGCTAGTGCAATTATGACAAACTTCATAAATAAGATTCACTCTTCAGGGTTAATTTCCAAATTTCTTTATGCAATGAATAAGAAATTAAGTTAAAAGCAGATGTTTTAGGAAGTTAGGCAGGGCTGGAATGAGTTTATATGTTAATACAGATTAATAAGTAGAATATTGTGTTCATTTGTGCTAATTATTTCCTCAGAAGACATCCATCCTATTTAGGCAATTACACAGCCTCAAGTCTTCATTTCTTACCGGTACTACCAAGGGACTTCATCTGCTACTTCAAGTTTAAGACTGTTCATGTGTTTTTAATAACATAGATTTAGTTTGAAAAATGCACTTGAGCTGTTTCCATGTGAATATTCCATGCTTACAGAGAAATGCATTTAATCTAAATTTAAGCTGTAGCTATAGTAACCAACATTCACTGTGTTTCAGGAGGGCATATATAAGCCTACTCAGACAGAAGGAAACATGTTGTGTTAATTATCATTCTATCAAAACACTAGAGTTTGTATTTTGGGAGATAATTATCAGAAATTATGAATTCCTACTACCCAGGCTTAGAAAGCAAGGGATTTACAGGAATGTGTACTAATGTCTCTTATAAGCTAGCTTTGCAGGATTTGATGGAGATTTCCTAGAGCAATCCCCAGGCTTAGACAAATAGGGTTAGTGTTTCAGTTTCAGGTAGATGATCAGATTTTTTTACTTGAGCCAGTCAATGATAGATTCTGTAGATGATGTTGCAAAGGTAGGAAACATCACTTATACATTAATGTCCATATTAATCAAGGTGCCTAAGGAAATGTCCTTGTTTCATTCCTCTGACCACAGAACTCTAAATGTTGCCTGATTTTTGAACAGCTTACATCAGAGAGAGCAAATCTGTCCTCAGCATGCTTTTCCAAGACTCCCATGTGTGTTGGGAGGCAATGCTGTTCTGCTGATGTAGGGCAGCTAAGACTCCACAAACCCAGTCCTGCATTTGCCAGAAAACGGCTGCCTGCCTGAGGAAGTGGCCTCTCTTTTTCTATGTATGAAATTTGCTTTAAATGCTTACTTTAGGTATAGTAAGCTGCCAATGGTCTTGGGAGAGCAGGTATCAAATGTTTCATACAAAATGCTGCTATAATGTTTCTTCATTTGTGTTTTCTCTTCCCCAGAGTTGAAAGAAAGGAGCGTGCACGTTTGAAGACGGTGAAATTCAACGCGAAACCCGGTGTAATTGATGCAAAAGGGGTACGTAAATAGTGAAACCTTTTGAAATTGCACCTGACAATTGTTTGATCCAGAGCAGAAAAAATTCTAGCGACATAAGGAATATTTAGGTTGTTGCAACCAAGACTTGCAGTATAGTGAAATGTAGATCAGAGATTTGTTTGATATCATCTTTGAAATTACTAAATATTCTTTTTATAATAATACTGAATTACAGTGCTTCCTAAGGGGAAGATAGTAAGAAAATAAAGAGCATTCCATGATAGCTGTGATTTTAATTAAATGATGGATAGAGAAGAAAAGGCTTTAAAAATGAATGAGATGGATAGCAATTTAATGAAATAGGACCAGAAGTGTAAATTCCCTGGCTTCAAAAGCTGTTAAATCACAAACAAAAGGTTGTAAGTTAAGGAGTCCTGGATATAAAAAAATAGGTTCTGGGTGTTCTGCTTTGACAGTTGTGACAGACATTGAACACAGGTGTGTTTCACACCAGACACAATGGCCAAACCACACAAAGTTCCATCCCACCAGTGCTGCCTGGACAGAACAGTGTTCTGCTGTTGCCTCTTCACAGAGCTGCTTTATTGTGCCCAAGTCAGCAGTTCTCCTTAGCCTGATGGCTACTATCCTGTCTGGTGCCATCTGGCTGGCAAGTATTACAGCGTGAGAAATGCCCACAGTCCTGGCTGTTAAGGTTTATTTTTCTGCTGAAGTGTAGCTTGCAGTTGTAGCAGTAGTGAATGTTTGACATTTGCAGGGATTTATTTTTGAAACCCATCCAGTTGGCATGTTTGGAATTTACAACTGAGGGCTTCTGCAAGCAAACTAGGAGGCAGAGATTCAGCAGCCATGAGGGAAAAATGCTGCTTGGCTGCAGAAAACAGCAGGGCCAAGACTGTGATGAGCACACACGGCCATAGGTAGGTGCTAGCAAGGGAAATAACTAAGTGGTTCAGCAGGTCCCTTCCAGACCTACTGACCCAGGGGTCTTCTGCCTAGTTTGAAATTCTCATTCCTAATCTCTTCTTCCTTCAGTTTCCCTCCATAATGGTAATACTAATAATTCCTTTATTCTGTTCTTTCAGACAGCTTTAGCAGGGTAAGAAATTCCTCTTCTGCGGACACACAGTTCTTAGCACAGGGGTTCCCAAGTCTCTACATGCCAGCAAAATAGTATTTCACACTTGCAAATACTTCCCTGTTTCTGCTCTATAGAAGAATTCCTGGATTCAATGCAAATGCAGAATTATTGTACTGACTGAAACAAGTTTTCCAGACTTATGAGGCACATGGAACTGTACATTATTTGCATTTGCAGATAACTTGGTAAAAATATATAATAAAATGCAGTTAGAAAAGACTGATTCATCTCATAGCATTTTTTCAGAAGTCATAATCCCATTTTTTAGCAATGCAACCCTGTATATTAATGTTGCCACTTATTTTGAAAGATAATAAGTTTTATATTGCCGATGAAATCACTTCTTAAATGTCTATTTCCCATATATAATCCAAGCCACAGGGGAATAATTCATTCAAATAACTAATGGTCCCTTTTCAAGTGATTCTGTCAAGAATTTAATTACCTCTTGATTCCCCAAATTGTTTTTCCATTTTTGTCATCAGTGTAACATTAATCTTCCAGCCACTCAACATCAGTGTTTAATTCAGTGTTTAGGAAATTGTGTAATTACAGAGCATGACTACTGTAGCCATTTGGGACCAAGTCATCCACATGAAATGAGATATTTGAGTACACACGTATATATGTGGATTTTAGGTGTCACTATTTCCATTTGGTCTTTCAGTGTCCAAAAAGAAGTGGTGTTAAATGTCTCAGAGTCCACGCTTTACTTTTTTTATTTTTTTTTTTTCAACTTTGGAAGAAATTTAGCCCAGGTAAACAGGACTGCAGTAGGCCCAGAAGAACACCTTTGTTTCAAAATCAAGCTAAAATTCAGATAGGAATGCATGGAAGCATTTTTTAAAAATAATTGAAAAATTAAAATAATTTTTTAAAAAACTTAACCAAATACAGGGAATCTTTGGGTGTTTTGAACAGGTAAAGGTGTACCTTACTGCAGTTTTACCTGAATCATCTCACTAGCCCTGACTCCTTTCTTCCCCTGTAGAAGAAACATTCAAGAGCTAATAATCCACAGCAAATGTTTCCTGAGATAATACCAAAATTTCTTCAAGATAACTATGATTTTTAAAATAGAAACTGTCTAGTTGTTCTATGGGTTTATAAATTCTTATGCCTTTTCATCTGTTTATACCTCATTTTTAGTCCCATATCTGGAGATAAGATGCAAAGAAAGTGTTACAGACAGGGCGACATTTGTAGTTGATCAGCTCCTGGTGTCTCACTGAAAAGGTGTTTAGGAATCAGCAATATAGCTGACAAACCTGTTTGTGGGAAAAGCTAAAAGATAATCTTTCCAAAAGCCCAAAGTTCCTCTTTTTCAGGCCAAACTTGTATGCCACTTCATCTATAAAATTAGTTCAGCACTTCTTAAAAATGTGATTTATATGACTTTAGATTTGTTTCACTGGACTCCTCCAATCCATGCCTTGTGAAATTAAAGTCTACAAAATCAGGATGGACAGAAACAGGGAATGGGAATCAAAACTAGGCAGCTCTAGGGAAACCTTCTGGTCTCAAGTTTAAATAAGGCAGAGGATAGTACCTTTCCATGCAATGCATAATTAAATTCCCATGCTCATTATTACAGGGTATTGCACAAAAAATAAGTTGAAAAGGAATTAGATAGGTTAGCAAGTAGTGAAACAAATGACAACTTTAAAACTTCCGTCATGTAACTCAGAACATATTAACTGTTGATTTCAAGAAGAGAAGTTGTAAAAGGGAAAGGATCACATTACTTCTGCTTTTCCTTTTAAACATCTGTTATTTGACAGTGCCAAAAAGCTACTTGGCTTACTTGATCTCTGGCTTAACCAATAGGGCTACTTCTCTTTCATGTTCTGTTTATTCTGACCCGAAGAAATTTATTAGTTCAGGCTCAGAGACATCCCCAGGACCCAGGCACCATTAACACTTTCAAAGATACCAGACCAGTTAGAGATAGTAACATCTGTGTAGTAGGGAAAAAAATAAAATACAGGTATAAGCAGTTTCCTGCCACCAAGCAAAGATTGTGCTTCTATTGTGTTCATCAAGTTCAGCCTCTACCTTCATTCTTGTAATTGTTATAGTGAACTTGAGCAGTTTTTGCAGTTGTTACTGAAGGTGGCTGGTGCATCAAATCCACCACAACACTGCTTTGGTTCCCTACAGCCATTCTCTGCTGCAACAAAGAACAGGGTTTCTAGGATACTGGACACATTTGAAAAAAAAAAAAAAAGTTAAGATAACACAGTTGTGATTTCCTAAGCATTTGCTTTCTTGTTCTTTTGGGCTCACTGGTCTATGGATAATCAATGGAAAATGGAGCAGCCTAAATGTTTATGTCTGATATTTTTGCTGAAGGAAGTTAACGAAGTTATGTAAGCACAAACTTCATTTAAAAGTATGTTTTATGCTAAGTTGAACTCAAGATCATATCCCAGCTATCTTCTGATGCTCACCTTTGCACCAAAAGGAGCAGAGCACGTGAGTAGCTGTGAACAGGGTTATGTATCTACCAAAACAGCATACTGAATTCTTGGTAACTCTCTATACCATAGGCTTCAGACTGAACAAAAATAGCCTTTCCTTTTCTAATCCTAAAACCCACAGTTGTTGAGGGCTTTTCAGATTTTTTAGTGAATGAAACAAGAGTGTAAAGTGACAGAAATATTGCAGGGGGGAAGGAGATTGGCCAGTAATCAGCTTTTTTCTTTACTGTTGTAATTACAACAGGTCTTTCAGAAGACAAAAATAGCACCTTTTGCTTTTCTCCCTGTCAGATCACACACACTTCCTTGGCTGTCTCTTGAAAATATTCTGCAGTTGAAATCATAGCTCTTGGAAAGACTTCTAGCAACACCTCAGTTTTAACTAATATTTATGAGTATTGCCCGTTTCCAGAGACTTGCTGAAAAATCAGGAAACATGTAGATAAAACTTAATTTTATACAGAGAACTGCTTTTTTATACCACATGCCTTTTCATTTCACACCTTATCTGCCAGTGACTCCAGAATATTGTCTTATGTACAAATAATCTATTTCATTTCCCAATGAAATGAAGGTGATGTCTCCCACAATCTCCATCTCTAATGTGTGTATCAGGGTGTGGGGAGATATTCAGCCCATCTTTACTGGGAAGCATTCCCAGGTGGTGCCTGCCCTGGTGATGCTGCTCAGCAGGGTACTGAACAGGCATGAGGTGCCTGCCAAGAAAAGGGACTGCCCCATCCCTCCAAAACCCCTTCCAGCTCTGCTGCTCATCAGCAGTGCAGGTCCTGGGCTGTGACCCACACCACATTGCTCCATCACTACCCATTAGGGTTTTTTCCTATTCACTTAGCTTGTCAGCCACAGTTCTCAGATTCCAGTCAGATCACCTACATCACACCCAGCCAGCCTCTTCAGTTGCCTCCAAATGAATTTATTATGACAGTCAAAAGTTTGATAGCATTTAATAATGTTTCTTATGTGCAGATTCTCTTTACAGATCCTACAGATGCCTGAAATGTAAGGTCATCTTGCTTTATTGCCATTTTAGCAAGATTGCACTGAGGCATGAAAGGAAAAAGCAAAACCTGACTGAGATAGCAAATTTGGTATTGTGGGGTAAACAAAACCCTCTGCATATTTAATGAATCTCTCCTCCAAGTGTCAAAATTCAGGGACCAACAGAACTTGATACAGAAGACACCTTTTGACAGTTCATTATTTGAAGGGGAGCAGGAGGGAAAGCCAAACAAATAAACCCACGTATTTCCAAACCATTTACGCTCTAGAAAATCATTATATTTTGAGCCCTAGTCATCAAAACAAAGCCAAACTGTCTTTAGGAACCTCTGGTGGTCACCTCTGCCCTGAGGGTTTTGTCTGTAACCTCCTCCTTA